AAACTGGTATCTTTGCTCTTTAATCCTTTAAAGGGGTCTTTTGCAGCAGATTTGCCCAATGCAGTGTCCTTTGATTTCTTGACTGCTGTTCTGCTGGTAAAATTGTTCAGTCACTCCCTTAGAATGTGACCCTTTGTGACTTTTTGATAATAATAATCTTGTACAAATACTTATCCTTTTGTTTTGCTCAGCATAATGTCCTCCAGGTTCATCCATACTATGAAGTATTTCATAGACTCATGAGTATTCTTTTACATTGTGTACACTGTTTTTACGTACAATCATAGTTTGTGTATCCATTTTTCCATTGATGGGCATTTAGGCTGTTTCCATCTTTTTTCTGTTCTGAGTAGTGCTTCGAGAAACATGGGCATGCAAAAATCTATTCGTGTTGCAGCTCTTAATTATCAAGGATATATGCAGACCAAGCAGTAAAATTGCTGAATCAAATGGTATTTCTATGTTCAACTTTTTACAGAAGCACGATAATCATTTTCCACAATGGTATCGTGGAAAATGGTATCATGCTTCTGTAAAAGGTTTTACCATTTTATAGTACCACCAGCAGGGTATGAGGGTTAAGGAATTCTATTTTGAAAATCTGAAAACAATCGTTATCTATGATTATGGAGAATAGATTGGTTAGTAATTAAGAACATGGACTCTAGAATAAAGCAGACAAGGCCAATAATCCAGGCTCTACCAATAGCTACCTAATTTAGGGCAAGTTCCTTTCACTGAGTCTCTGATAACACATGTACAAAATGGGAACAATAGTGAGTATCCAACAAGGTTGCTGTAAGGACTAAATGAAATAACTCATAACACTATTTAACACAGAGCTTAGAGGATAGCAGAGTCCTACTGTGGAGTTGTGGGTTAATGTGCTGGATTGCAAACTCAGTTTGAACTGCAACGTCGATGGTTCAAGCTCACCAGTTGCTCCTCAGAAATCCTATACAGCATTGCTATAGGTTGGAACCAACTCTCCAATGCTTAACAACAACAAGAAGTGGATAGCACTGGTAACAAGTAGACAAATTGTTATTGCTAACTTGTTTATTACTGCTTATTATCTGTAAAATCAGTGTGGCATGACGAATTAGGTTTTCACTTACTCTTTTCTATTCTTACAGGGACAA